TATGCTCTCAGACTATCACTTAGATAAATCTAAGAACCTAACAGCTTTTTGTCTCTCCTCTTAACCTTATAAAACAATCTCACGATTTTGATTAGAGTGTAAAAGGTGTCCTATAAAACTCCTAGCACAATCCTTTATATACTAGGTTAACTCTTTTACCTAATAAACAAAGAGATTGGCCTTATTTAAACCTCTTCCTTATTTAAGACTCTATGCAAATTTGTATAGACTTCTAGAATCCCACACCAAATCAATCTTTAATAGGGAAAACAAATCCTATATGAATGCAAATGATTCTTACCAAATATTAAACCCCACCCCCGAATTTATATGTAATTTTATAATTTCCCAAAGTTTTATTGAATTTTTCATTTTGGTCCCCTAGCTTGAGTAAATCTGGACCCTTTATCTAGATTCCTAAACTCCCTCAAACTGCCACGTGGTAGCACCCTGACAATCCTCATCCTTCTCTCTTTCTGTCCCCTACCCCGTGACCCCTTTCCTTTTTCTCTTTTTGTCTCTACACTCACTTTCCCTTATCTCTCTCGAAACTCTCATCCATTTCCCTCTCTTGCACCGTGAGCGTGCGCGCGTGCGCGCACACACACACGCACAGAGCTCACACCACTTTGCAGGAGAAGACACACCATCAAACCATCACATCATCAAACCTCGGTATCTCTCTCTCTCCTTATTGCGAGGACTGTCCAAGGAACTTCGGCGAGGACTCTTTTCGCGAGGTTTCCTAAGCATTTTTTCCGTTTAGGTTATTGAAGCATTTAGTCTCTTCTCGTTATATAGATCGATGCTTGAGATGTGGTTTAGGATTTTAAATTCCATTATTTCCGGTTAAGGTTTTAGACTGATTTCTTGGCGAACACACCCAGCTCCGGCGAACCCGTAGTCGGCCCGAGGGGTTTTTCACGCACACCGAACGTTCACACAAACGAAGGTATAAACACACTCATCTTCTCTTGTGTTTCATTTTAATACCTAGATCGGAGTCTAGGGTCGTGGTTTGCAGTCGGCAGGAGCTGGGAAGGCTCTGGCGTTCTTCTCCGTTGTTCTCATCGACACTAGGCCTTCCAGGCCGTTTCCAAGGCTCTCGGGCCTTAGGCCGGTGGTGAACCCAGGCCCTTTTTGGGCAATTCTAGAACTCGAGCTTTAAGCCCGTTCGGTCCATCTCCCTTATTTTATTTTTCTGTTATTTATTTTACTTTGTTGTTAATTGTTTTAAAGACCCAAAGGCCTTCGGGTCGTTGCATTTAGGGCATGTGGCCCGTTGACCCAACCCAAAACCTTTTTTAGGTTTTATTTAATTCTTGTTTTAAAATTTAGGCCCTTGGGCCATTTCTGTTATGGGCTTTAAGCCTAACCCCTAAAAACCCATCACCCTAAACCTATTTCCCTAAACCCTTTAAACCCAAAACCCTTAGGGCCTATTAGGCCCAACCCAAATACAAACCCTAAGCCCAGACCCGTTTGACCCAGTTGACCTTTGATCGTTGACTCTGACTATTGACTCGGTCAACGGTCAACGTTGATTTTAGAGTTGACTTTTCAGGGTTTCGTCCGAGACCTCTCATAAGCTAATTTCGACGTCCTGGACCTGTTTTTGAAGTCCGTTTTCCCAAATTAAATCGTTTGAATAGAGTTTGACTAAAGGTACCCCTTTATGTGATTAGGTGCAATTATTAGAGGTGATTCCGTTATTCCTTTTTGGTACAGCTTTGCACCATCGGTGTACGGTGAGTGGACCCCTTCTAAAATTACATGATTTCATAGTTTAATTGCATACATGAATAGCATGTCTTACGAGTTATGAACTGATTTTATGTTAAGCATGTTTATGAAATATGTTGTTTATTGTCTCATTTTTGGTGAGGAATTAATTATTAGCCTATTATTGAGCTATTTAGTTTGATATATCGTTTTCTTTTCTATAAAAACCATGAACTGTATGGTAGACTATTGATGGATACGACGATAGGATGCTAGAACATTTTTAGAAACCCTTATTTATAGTATAGATGATGGATGACTTTATACTATGAAGTGGTTATTTATGAGAGGCGTAACTATTTGTGCATACCTAGTGGACACTATGTCGCCTGGGGTGAGGATCTGGTGTTGGCAGATAGGCCGGGAGAAATAATCCTAGCTAACGGGTTGAGGGACACGGAGCAGGCATTGGGCCGGGAGTTGGTAATCTTTGGCTACGGGCGCAGAGACCACGGTGCTAGCATAAGGCTGGGAGTTATATTTATTCAATGATCTTACTGGCAGCACATCACGCTTACGAGACGATCTGTGAGACGATTGATGTTTTGATTTCCGCGATGTTTTTCCGCGAAATGTTTGAGATATTTTTGGCATGCTAGGGTTTTTTGTAAAGTAAACTTATCACTTAGTTATGCTATAGTACCTTTATATAACTTGGGGTTAATATAGTACGTTTGATAACTGTATATATATATATATATAAACTTGGTCCACTCACCTTTGTTTTGCGCCCCCATTCAAGACGTAGAATCGATGCATACAATCGATCCGGGCGTCAAGGCATTTTTCATTTGCAGCAGCATCTTCGCAGTCTCTTTGGTGTAGGACTACTCCTTTGTTCATCAATTCTTATTTATATTATTTTTTTTAAAGTATTCTGGTTAGTTGTAGGCTTTGACACTTTCCTTAAATGCATTATTTCTTTATCTTTTACATTTATAAACCTTATCGTCCACAGCATTCACAATTCGGTGTCGACCAGCACGTGCCTATCCTGGTCAGGATCGGGATCGGGGTGTCGCCAGAAAAGAGCTTTGTCGTGTAACATCTGTCAATCATACTCCTCATTTAACGCAAGCTCCAACCTTCACATGTTACAATTAATCCTAAGACTAGGAATAGCCAACTTACAGACTCTTTACATTTGCTAGGAAATAGCCAACTTAATTACACTTTCAAACTTGGACATGTATACAAATACATTATTTATTTTCTCAAATACAGACATATTTATTGACTAAACTTGGTACAAAAAGTTGGTTCCTTTTACCCCAATGATACGGTTATGTTTGTCCTTTTTTAGATTCGACGATTAAAGATTTAATGGTCATGAGATTTTATGAGCTGGTCTATTATATAATTTCCGTTAATTGATAATAAATGAATAATAGTTTCATGACAGCCGAGAGAGAGGTATTTGTCATATGAATTTCTTTGGCAATCCACCATTGAAATCTGATCAGTGTTATTATCAGCTGTCAACTCAGTTAAGTCTGAATTGTCAATAGTCCATCACTTACTTTCCAAACCAAAGGTGTAGGGTCAATCAAGAAATCCAAGTCTTTCAATTGACTTTGATTTTTCCATCTTCTCCGCATAATTTTTTGTATAATTTCTTTGGATAAAGCATGCAATCTCAGAACAACGATGCAAGCCTTGAGAAGCTTTTTTATGTGCTTGTTCTTCTTATTCTCCCTTCTAAGAATCTCAGCTGCAACTGCACTGGGCACAATCACTCCGAGTGGATATATAAGAGATGGCGAAACTCTGGTTTCAGTAGGTGGAAGCTATGAACTGGGATTCTTCAGCCCTGGTAAATCGAAAAGCCGGTACTTGGGAATATGGTACACTGTTTCTACCGATGCAGTTGTGTGGGTAGCCAACAGAGAAACACCACTTGGTGATTCTTCAGGACTTTTGAAGCTCACGGAGCAAGGAGTTCTAGTCATCCTGAATAGCTCAAACAGCATTGTGTGGTCATCGAATTCATCAAGAACTGCGGGGAATCTAGTATCGCAACTATTGGATTCTGGAAATCTTGTGGTGCAAGATGGGAAAGAAACTAACCTGGATAACTTCTTGTGGCAGAGTTTTGATTATCCTTGTGACACATACCTACCGGAAATGAAGCTTGGTTGGGACTTGGTTGCCGGTTTAGAGAGGTATCTCTCGTCTTGGAAGAGCACAGAAGATCCTGCTCCGGGAGAGTTTTCGGAACGAGTGGATCTGCGTGGCTTACCACAATTTTTTATTATGAAAGGAGCTAAGATACAAACCAGACGAGGGTCATGGAATGGCCTTTATTTTACAGGATCCGAATATGGTGTCAGAGAACCAAATCCAATATCTGGGACTAAATTTGTGATGAACAAGGATGAGGTCTCTTTGAAGTACAGGCTAAAGAACATGTCAGTGTTCTCGAGATATGTATTGAACTCATTAGGAGTCGCAGAGAAGTTCACATGGGTGTACCAAACACAGAGTTGGGAACTTGCCTCTACATTCCTAGCAGATCGGTGTGAAAGTTATGCCTTGTGTGGTCCATTTTCTAGTTGCAAAAGCAATGGTAACTCTGCAATATGTGCATGCTTGAAGGGATTTGTACCAAAATCTTTGAAAGATTGGAATTCGGGATATTGGTCTGATGGATGTGTTCGAAGGACTCTGTTGACCTGCAGCCATGGAGATGGCTTCACAAAGTACAGTGGGATTAAATTGCCAGACACATCAACCTCGTGGTATGATAAAAGCACGAGCCTTAAAGAATGCAAGGGATTATGTTTGGGAAACTGCTTATGTACTGCGTGTGCAAATCTAGACATCAGGGAGAGAGGAAGTGGCTGCGTGCTTTGGTTTGGTAACCTCATCGACATAAAAGAATTCACTCCTGGCGGTGGTCAAGACCTCTATATACGGGTGGCAGCTTCAGAACTAGGTACGTCTTAGACCTTTATCCGCAATTATGCAAAGTAGGGTTTAAATAAGTTAGTGTTAGAACCACAGTTACTGCAACACTATGAGATCACATGAAAAGCTAGTTTTATACAGATATTTCAGATCATGTTAAGAAAATGAGCAATTTCAACAAGAGAAAGTTACTAGCAATTCTCCTCAGCTCTGCAATTTTTCTCATGGGACTGCTAATAGTTGGAATAATATTGTACATACAGAAGAAGAAACTTAGAAATGAAGGTAACCATTTTCAGACACATTAAAAATGCATTAGATAAGGTAGTATTTAATTTCGATAGTGTAGCTAACTGTTCGCATCTTTTTATCCATGCTGAAGAGATCTCCTACTATTTCAGGACACAGAAGAAAGGATTGCAGTGACGAGTACCTCGGAGAAGACGGGGAAGAGATGGAGTTACCACTGTTTGACTTGACCACCATAGTTAAAGCCACTGACAACTTTTCAAGCCGCAACAAGCTGGGAGAAGGTGGCTTTGGACCTGTGTACAAGGTAACATGAATTCATGCAATCAAAATTAGCTAAATTGCTATACAAAATTTAAGTCTTTTCGACATGATGGTCCATAGGGTACACTGATAGGAGGAAAAGAAATTGCAGTAAAAATAGGCTTTCAAAGAATTCCGGACAGGGAATAAGAGAGTTCAAAACTGAAGTTATTCTCATAGCCAGACTTCAACATCGCAATCTTGTTAAGCTTCTCGGTTGTTGCATTCAAAAAGACGAAAAGATTCTAATATATGAATTCCTGCCCAACAAAAGCTTGGACTTCTATATTTTTGGTACGATCCTTCATTTTCAACCTATTATACTAGGATTCAATGTGGCATTGAAATAACAGGCTTAAAGTTTCTTCAGATCAAGAGGGTCAAAAATTGCTCGACTGGCCTAAGTGCTTCCACATTATCAGTGGAGTTGCTCGAGGGCTTCTTTATCTTCACCAAGACTCTAGATTAAGGATTATACATCGAGATCTGAAATGTAGTAATATTCTGCTAGATAATAATATGAACCCGAAGATTTCAGACTTTGGCCTGGCTAAAACATTTGGCGGTGACCAAAGTCAAGCCAATACAAACAGAGTGGTTGGAACCTAGTAAGCATGCTGACTTGTTTTGTGGTTTATAATTTTATTGTTTTGCTTTTGAAATTCTCTACAAACCGAGTGGTTGGAACCTAGTAAGCATGCTTAGACTTGTTTTGTGGTTTATAATTTTATTGTTCTGCTTTTGAAATTCTCTCTCACTGGTCATTGCATATTGATCTGGCAGTGGTTATATGTCTCCAGAATATGCAGCAGATGGAACTTTCTCGATGAAATCTGATGTGTTTAGCTTGGGAGTCATACTGCTCGAGATGTTGAGCAGGAAGGAAAAACAGGGGATTTCGTCATCCAGATCACGACCACAACCTTCTTGGACATGTAAGTATAACAAACGAGGTGATGATATTTTACTTTAAAAAAGAAGAGTGAATTAGACGGTGCTCTTCGAAGCATAGTTTTCTAATGACATGCATTTAACAGTATAGAAGTTCTGCAGCAAAACCCCTCTTACATATTAGCCCACTAACATATCATACATGTTTCAATTTGTTTGAAGGCATGGATACTATGGATTCAAGATAAACCACTAGAACTGATCAATAAGACATTTTGTGATTCATGCAACATATCTGAAGTGATAAGGTGTTTTCATGTGGGGCTGTTATGTGTGCAAAGAGTACCTGAGGATAGACCAAGCATGTCATCTGTGGTTTTGATGTTGAGCAGTGGTGATGTCTTGCCGCCTCCAAAGCAGCCTGGTTTTTACATTGAACGAAGCGTCCATGAATCACCAACAAGGTCGCTTCCATGTTCAGAGAATACTTTCAGCACTACGATGATAGAAGCTCGGTAGAACATCATTGAAGTGCTTGTTAATCCTTCAATCTACCATCACAAAACGTGTTTGGAAGGTTTACATGGAAGCTTATAGTCTTTGTTGGCAAACAATGAGACATGCAATTATAACTCTGCAAGAAAAATATTTGTGATTACAAGTTTAGCAGTTCCTAAATCATAACAAAGAATTGATTTGGGGTTGTTAGGTTGTTGAAGAAAATTGAAGTTATAGCTAAAGTTGTGTTTATTATTTATTAATTTTAAAGAATTGCCATATTTGGCTAATATCATATGGTACTAATATATTGTTTAGACATTATTGATGCTATGTCTATAATGTGAGTATATTGTCTCTATGTCCACGATGTTGTCTACAATAGCTATAGATTGTCGATGTGTTGTTATAATTATCGATGTTGTCTACAATAGTTATAGATTGCCTGTGTGTTATAATTATCGTTACATGCTAAATATTTCTTCTGCTCTATCCACAATGTTGATATCATCAAAACCTAAAATTGTTCCTTAGCTCAATGGTAGCAATGGATTCTTATGGTGCATTGAATCAAGAGAAATCTAGTTGTGCGTTGGATTTTTCACTCCTTGGGGCAATCAAAGAGTGAATATTTTCCTACGTTTTCTCGTGAACCAAACGGAGCGCTTAGAGGTAGTCTAAACTCACAATTCGGGTTGCGCTTGGGCCGTTTCATTTCGCATTGGTACTTCTTCATTTGGCATCAATATGTTTTAATTTAGCATTGATATGATTTAGTTTGTCTTCGATAGCTTTCATTTGGCAATGGTACGTCTTCATTTGGTAATCGATATTTTTTTATAAATACATAATAAAAATATGATTGATATAATATATACGTACCAATCAACAATATATATAAAATTGCTTTAAAGAATATGTATAAAATCAAATGTACCACAACCCAACAGAAATGCAACAATCCATGTTATTTACGAAATCCTTAGAAAAAAAAAAGTTATTTACTAAATCATACGTATCAAAACTAAAGTTGAATGTACCCATCAATAATAAGTGCTAAATCATAATCATACATATATTATAAATACCAGAGCAAGATATAGATTAAAAACGGAAAAAATAGTTTGATAAAAAAAAAAAATCAAGACGTCCATCATTATTAAAAATAAAAGAATTTTAATTTTGACTGACATATCTAAACATATATTATTTTGGTGATTAATTGAATTCAATTATTGCGAATAATTAATAAATAAAAAAAACCACCAGGCAAGGATACATACAATTACCCAGTAACTAAAAAAATAATTTTAGATTTATACTATTTTTATTTCAGAAAAAACACAAAAATAACATGTAATTTAAATAAATTAAAAAATACTGATGTGTCTATTGGGCAAAACACTTTGATCAAATCTTTAAAACGAATGAAGTCTAAAACCTGCGAAAGAGATGTGGGGGAATCTAATTTTCTCTTTTAAGAGTGCAAGTAAAATAATGAATTCCCAATGGCAAGCTTCTCTAAAAATCAAAGGGTAAAAGACTGTTTACTACCCTCATGTTTCGTGGTTTTCAACATTTAGTACATCAAGTTTTTTCCGTCTCAGATTCATACCTAAAGTGTAAATTTTGGGACAGTCTCATACATCCGTTAGTCAAACTGTTAAGTCTCCCGTTAACTGTGACGTGGCGCACATGTGGACACTGACTGGACGCCACGTGTCATCCACATTTTTTTTTCTTCTTTCTTCTTCTTCCTCCGACTGCAACTTTTTTTTTTCTTCCTCCTTCTCCTTCTTCCTTCCTCCTTCTTTCCCCTTCTTCCCCTTCTTCCTTCTTCTTCCTTCTCCTTCTCCTTCTTCTTCCTCTTCCTCCGAATCTAAGGAAGTTTTTTTTTTTTCTTCTTCCTCCTCCTTCTTCCTTCTTCTTCCTCCTTTTTCCTTCCTCTTCTTCTTCTTCTTCTTCTTCTTCCTCCGAATCTGCCCAGATTCAGTTTTTTTTTCTTTTTTCTTCCTCTTCTTCTTCCTCCTTCTTCCTCCGACTGCAACTTTTTTTTGTCTTCGTCCTTCCTCCTTCTTCCTTCTTTCTTCTTCTTCTTCATCCGAATCTGAGGAAGATGAAGGTTTTTTTTTTTTTTTTTTTTTGAGGAAGATGAAGAATAAGGAAGAAGGAAGAAGGAGGAAGGAGAAGAAGAAGAAAAAAAAAAAAAAAAAAACTTTCCTTGATTTGGAGGAAGAAGAAGAAGAAGGAGAAGGAAGAAGAAGGAAAGGGAAGAAGGGGAAGGAAGGAGAAAGGAAGAAAGAGGAGGAAGAACAAAAAAAAAAAGTTGCAGTCGGAGGAAGAAGAAGGAAGAAGAAAGAAGAAGAAGAAAAAAAACGTGGATAACACGTGGCGCCCAGTCAGTGTCCACATGGGCGCCACGTCACAGTTAACGGGAGACTTAACAGTTTGACTAACGGATGTATGAGACTGTCCTAAAATTTACACTTTAGGTATGAATCTGAGACGAAAAAAATTTGATGTACTAAATGTTGAAAACCACCAAACATGAGGGTAGTAAACAGTCTTTTACCCAAAATCAAAATAGCACCTCGCTTCAAAAGTAAAATTCCTCCAAAATCAAAAGTTTAAATTCTTAATTTTGGGTTTTAATTCCTCTATGATTAGTAAGCCATGAACGATCCGTAACCAGGATCCAACATTTTACTTTGATTCAACATGCCAGTAGCATTAAGCTCAAATTTCATGTAGTTTTGCATCATGACACTTGATGCATTGGACCAAGTTCCCGGCATACCGAAAAATTTCTCCCTCATAAGCGGCACATAACATACACGTATGCAAATAAACAAAAAGAAAAACTCCATGCCTAATTAGTAACAACCACCCAACCTATTTACTTCTGACCCGAAACAGGATAGGCCGCTTATTAGATTAGTTACAATAAACTTCACTATATGCGCGCATAAAGGTGTTGGACAAAAATGCAACAAAGAATACCGGTATTCCAGATATAACACGGCGGATAAGAGTTCCTTAAACTTGGATCCTAGGTGGTCAGTAGTCTTTTGAATACTAGATTTTCCTGCTCATTAGGGCACAACATCAACCTGTGCAAACATCATAAACATTGCAAAATTGGAAACTCAAGATTAATATTCCTGCAGCATATAATTGAATTGCTAACAGATCGAGTCAAAAACAGTTCCAAGGATAAAAGGCAACAGATGTTCGGTCGGAGCTCAAAAAAAGAAGAATCCTCACTAGACTGGGATTTGAAAATAGTAGCATCAGAAGCATTGCACATCATCGATCGTACAAATTGGAAACCAATGTTGCCATTTAAGCTAGTTTCTGTGTGTTAAGGAGTAAGTAATACAGCTATTATTGCATATAGTCATGCATAGGTGAAAAGATTTGTAAAGCTAAAAGTTATCCATGCAAGGCCACATATGTTTTCATCTTTAAGATCAACCGTGAGTAGTTGACTGCCTTTAGTAAGGTTGACATTGAGGGACGGTAACTATTCACAATCTTTTAACCGTAAATGGTGGATTGTAAATTTACCTCTTGATAAGCAAGAAACATGTATATACAATTGGAAAGACGAGATCAACCAGTTCTGCTCCCCGATGCAAGGAGCTGCATTTGTTCAGTGATGTGATTCATATGTTGACTCTTTTCCCATCCATTCTCCTTCCCCAACTGCAAATCCTGATTCACAGCCACTCCATCATCGGAACTAAAACTAATTTCATCAGTGTCACCAGGCGGTGGGCTTGCTGTGAGAAATTGTTCCCAGAAGATATCGTTAATGCCTGGAAGGCTAGAGACCCCATCTGGCAAGGCATCTGCATCAGGCTCAGGAGAAAATGGTAAAATATCTGTAGGCAGTCTCCCATCCAAACCTGCTGACATGCCCATGTATCCTGCATTCCCAATCTCAGAGCCAATGAAGTTTGCATTGGGGATTTCCACATTGCTTTCTGAAACAATACCTTGCATTCGAGTTAGTTCAGGGATAACTGTATCTTGTTGAAAATTATGCATGTTCTCTTCCAAAACTTGAGTTTCTTTAACAGAGTTGGAAACCGCATAAGGGGAAGACTGGATCTCAGAAATGGCTGTAGAATGACAACTGACAGGAAATCTAGACTCTTCAGGCATATAACACTCTGCAGAAATTGGTGGAACCTCTGAAAGGGTCACCCCTAAGTTCCGACTAGAGGTGTTCCTACTATCTGTTGCATTGGAAGGAACATTATCAATTAGGAAAGCATCAGGATTGATCAATGATGGTTCCAGCTTTGGAGATGTATTCATCTTCAAGATCTGCAGCAGCATTGCTTTTGCTGCTTCATTCATTGAAGGCTGGTACTTCACCATTTGTCCATCAAGAACTTTGCTGCCAAGGTTCCCAACCAAAATTTCATCATCTTGCCTTGGGAGTCTCCTTTTCTTATTGCTTCCAGTGATGCGCCTATTGTTTTCATTCTGATGCTGGACAAGCTGTGATAAAAATCCGGGACTATGCATAGCCTTTGCAAGAAATGACATCATTTGCTGCTGCCGCTGCTCCATTCCCTGCATACGTTGCCCAACATTATGCAACTGATTATCTGTTGCTTGCTGTTGCTGCCTAAGCCTAACAAGTTCCTGCATAAGAGTGTTCTTATCTCTTTTAAGTCTTTCAACCTCTTCCTCCAGCCCAGGATTTACCACCTCTACACATGCCCCAACCTGAGAGCTCTGCAATTGAGGTGGTGGTTGTTGATGACTCTGTACATGAGCTGGTTTTCGCCTGCTTACAGTCTTCAAAAGGTGTTTCTGGCCTCTAAGAAACCCTTCGTTTGCAAATTCCCATCGGTCTGGATCAACCTTTCTAAAACCCTGCAAATTGAATGTGAAAACATAAATACTAATTCTATATAATGAAAATAGAGTCAGTTAGAAGTTATACCAACAACATAAACTAAAATTTATTTTGGAGCACAAGACAGAGCCAGATTCTCTCATCTCATGATCTTGCCTTTAGGTAACAAGCACCTTCTCATACTCATAGTTGTGGTTTCCAACCTCCAACAGCCCAGTGCTGCTGAGCAACTCCTTAGCTTTCGCCTCTTTTTCTACTCTCACTATTTATTTCTTTATTTCCAATAACGAACGCAAATACAACTTCTTTTACACATATTTTAGCCATTTGATTATGATGTATTGCTTGGTGAACAAGCATTTTTTCTAGTTCAACTGTGAGCAGGAGACTTTTACGGTATATAATTACGGATGTATATGTATGTATGTATTTGTAGATGAATACTCACATGGATAATGCAACCACAGAAACAAAATAGCTTAACTTCACCTTTCATGTTTTTTTCTAGACCAAAAATAAAAAACTCGAAAAGAGAAGTTGATATCATGTATACTCTAAAACAGTAAGTCTTGATGGGAATGAATGAATCGGAAAGGAAGAAAAAAGTAATTCTTAACTTAAAACCTCTAAAAGTAAGAGAAGAGGAAAGGAACAAACCTCAAGAACATACCAGTTCATTTGAAATATTACACCTCGCTAGTTTTTATTAACAATGCCAATAAGTATTTACCAAAACTGGATCACTACTTGATACCTGTTATCTGTAAGAGTTCAGACAACATGTATTACTACATTTTGTATTATGCATATAACTACATCGTCCTTGTACAGAGAAACATTTTCAACATGTCAAACTATCACATCACTAACTAGGTTGACATGTAGAAAAATCAAACTACTGACTTAAAAGATCACAATGCCTATCACCAGGTTTTTAATGAACTGCAAGGGAAAAAAACCTTTCAGTCATCGGGATAAGATGGGAATTTCGGGACATTATCAGCACGTCTAAGAAAATTTTCATTCCACTTTATACAGAATGGATTCATTACCAAAAAAAAAAAAAAAGAATTCCAGTCTTACTTTATAAAGAAAATATCTTCGTCAATTGTAAATAAAATGCAATCGGAACAAATTTTTCCAAGAAACACGTAAAATAAGGCAGTTTGCGCATAAGTAGTTGGCTCGAAATTTAAATCTCAATGTAGTTCTACCTCTAATGTCCTTTTTCCTTCTAGGTTTTCCACTAGTTCAAAACAAAACCAAACAAATTGAAATCGTTTCTACTCGATTACATGACATGGTGATCGCCTAGACTCAATGGAACCCAGTGAATGACAAAGAGTCCAATTCAACAACAATGGCTTAAATCATGTGATATAAATACACACAAACAGAATTCACAATTTACTTATTTACATCCTTGAAATCGATAACCCTTTTGCCAAAATAACAATTGCAAAACCAAATCGGACATTGATCCTGCTTAATCACTCCAAATTTAACAGTTCCGATCGGAATCACCGCGAAAACAAGAATCAAATGCAGAAAAGCACAAAAGAATCAAAATTTAGGAAAGGGTAGGAATACCCACATAAGTATTCAACTGCCTGACGAAGCTAGAGAAGTTGTTGTGCTTGAAATACTTGGGCAGGAGGTCCCTCGAGAACTCGGGGACGTTCCAGACGACGAAGCTGTTGTTGCCGTTGCTCCAGGAGACGACGGCGTCGGTGGAGTGGTCATCCACCATATCGTAGGTTTTGTTGAGAAACGGCGGAGGAGCGTTGGCGGAGTTGATGACCGACGCGGCGTCTTCGACTCCCTCCATGGTTGTTTGCATAAGTGCTTGGGAGAACTGGGTGTTTTAGAGAGAGAGAGTGGGAAGAGAAAAGCCCTAGATTGCAGGAGATGATGAGTGAGAAGGGGATGGGGGAAGATGCATTAGTCACAAATCACGACTCGCGGCAAGTTTTGATGACAACAACAGCGCACACAAGTCCAATTATTTACACGGAAATTGGGTGGATTTACATTTAAATAGTTTTTGCTATGCGTTGGCGCTTTTGCCATAAATTTGGGGGCTTTTTGGAATTGCGGCTTCTCAAAATCACTTATCCTCAGAAGCAATTTTAATAAAGAAAATAATGAAAATGACTTGAAAATTTTGAATTTTAATGATAAGGACAAAATAAAGAGTAAAGTGAATAGTACCATGATTGACTTTTTAATGTAAAAATGTGATTTTTCATTAAAATGAACAGTACCGGATACTTTTCGTTAAAGTTCCCATTTTAATAACGAGCTTTTCTATTTAAAACTACCTCTCATTTAGAGCAAGTCCACCATCATCCTAATTTGCCCAACCAATTGAGTGATCGAATTCCCAAAAATCAACAAATCCTCTCCGCTCTAAAGCCCAATCAGTCGGGCTACAGTGAAAAGGAAGCAGGTCCTCCTGCTCAATCGGGCTACAAACGCTCAACCCACGTTATAATTTTTTGCACCAGGCGCATGCGCTTCACGCCCTCGTCAGTGCCAGTGGTCTGACAAAAATGCAGGAGGTGGAGCCCGCATCGCGGCAGTGGGAATTGCGGTGAATCTGGCCCGTTGGATTTCCCAAATCTGACGTCCTTGTTAATCCAGATTTTAAAATTTCCAAAAAAGAAAAATATGAAAACGACATGGTGTCCACGTGGCACAATATGTACTCTTGGATTGCAAAAAAAAAATATTATCCAACGGTATAAAAATTATAGATAAATTAAGAGAATATCAACAGTAGTGTGATCGAGACAGAATTCTAATTTCGAATAATAACACATGGTTAACAAATACCTGCTCCTTAATATTACTCTTTACTTATAAGAATCAATTTTTAGGTTTTTTAAAATAAAAAAAAAAGAACCAAAATCAAACCGAACAAGAAAAAAACTAAACTGAAAAAATAATTGAATTAAAAGAAAATAAAAGAAAATCGAAGCGAATCAAACCAGTAATTTTAGTATGGTTTTCGATTTAGACAAAAAATGAACCCAATGAAGCTAGCTAAACCCATGCCTTCGTTGAGTGGGCCACATATAACTAAAGTCAAATTGATTAATTACTTAACTCGTCATCTATAAAAGTTATGGCGAATTTTTTATTTACGAGTGAAAAAAAATATCACACAAATTATTTAGGTAAATACCTTGTACCGTGATAAACTTCAAAGTTAATTCAACAATTAATTCCTATTAATTTTTATTTTCGGAATTTCGTAATAATTGAAAATATTTAAGAATTGAGAATTTAATAAAAAAATTAAATGTTAATAAAAAGGGGGAAAGAAAAAGAGAAAAAAAAAGGAAGAAAGGAGAGCCACCGGTATTTAGTTGGTACTGAAATTTCAGCGGCTTAGAGGAAGGTGCCAAAATCCCAACAGACCCAACAGCGTCGTCTCTCGCACTGCCTTCGTTCCTCTTTGAGGCTTTGATATTATTATGCGTTTTACCGTCAAAAGGCAAAGTTGCAGGAAAACTACAAATATTATGGGAGAGAGAGGATGGAATTAGAAAACGTTGCCTTATCGCAAATGTATTTTGATAGGTAAAGAAGCAGCCACACATATACACAACCACAACCACAACCTCTCTCCGTCCTCACTCTCTTTCCCAACTTCCTGTTTACATACACACACCACCCTCCCTCTCTCTCTCTCCTCACTCTCTTTCTCTCTCAGCCCAATAAACCCAAGTGCTGGAATTTCAATCATTGTTCTTGGAGGGAGGTAAAGCTGCTATCTTTCTCTACCAAGTGTTGGATTTTTGATTTGGGGTTCCATTTTTTTTTTTTTTTGTGTTGGGAACCATACTTTTGTTGTTAGTTGTTGAATTGGAGTATTGGGTAGCACGAATTTTCTTTAAATTGTAGTAATTTCCATACAAGTTTACATTTTTGTGTGGGAATTGGAGAGAGTATAGAATATTAATGGGTGGTTGTGTTGCGGGGTCTCCAAGCTAGTTCTGGTAGGAAGCATGCAGGGAACAATGGCTTCTTTGGTTTCCCTGGTTAGTTGGGGAGGTCTTACAATTGCGGGTTCATCCGAAAGGTCACGCTTGCTTGTTAGGAAAGTTTCTTTGCCTAAGACAAGTTTCAAGGGTAGCAGGAGATGGCATTGTCTAAGGTTATCCGTGTGTAAATATTCGGTCACAACTACTGATTTTGTTGCCGAGCAAGGCAATGAGGTATCCCTTGATTCTAACGACTACGGAGGAACTAAAGTTGTTTCTGATGCCAGTGCTGATTTTGTACTTAAGCCCAGTCCGAAGCCAGTATTGAAGTCCTCAGGGGGTTCCAGTACTGAACCCCTTTTAGGTATTGATGCAGCTGACTGGGACCCCTCAAGAATTAGTGGGGATTCAGATGAAGAAAACGAAGAAGAGAGAAATACGGTGATTGAATCGCTTGGAGAGGTTTTGGAGAAGGCTGAAAAGTTAGAAACTGCAAGAGTGGGTGAACTGGGTACTAAGACGGATAGTGGCTCTGTAAATAAACGTGCACCATCTAATGCAAGTGTTAATTTGCGAAATACTAAACCAGTGGACACGGCGGCAACTAGTAAGTCTAAAACTTTGAAAAGTGTGTGGCGTAAAGGAGACACGGTCGCAACTGTGAAAAAGGTTGTAAAGGAATCACCTAAAGTTAGCAATACAATTCAGAATGAGGAGACAAAGAAGGGAGGAGAGGTAAAGGTAGAGTCTCAACCCCGTGCTCCTTTAAGAACCCCTCAGCCCCCCTTGAGACCTCAACCAACATTACAAGCAAAGCCTTCTACAGCTCCTCCACCCACAGTGAAGAAACCTGTTGTGTTGAAGGATGTGGGGGCAGCTCCGAAGTCGTCAGAGATTGATGAAGCTGATTCGTCCACAAAAACTAAAGAACGGAAGGGACCAATTTTGATTGACAAATTTGCTTCCAAAAAGGCAGTGGTCGATTCTGTGATTTCTCAAGCAGTTTTAGCTCCTTCAAAACCAGGAAAGGGCCCTTCCCCTGGAAAGGTCAAAGAAGGGTTTCGAAAGAAGGATGCACCTGGACCACGGAGGCGGAAAGTTGCTGAGGATATTCTGGACGAAGACACGTCAGAACTCAATGTCTCTATTCCTGGAGCAGCAAGGAAAGGGAGGAAGTGGAATAAAGCAAGCAGGAAGGCAGCGAGACTTCAGGCTGAGAAAGAGGCGGCTCCTGTTAAAGTCGAAATTCTAGAGGTCGGTGAAGATGGTATGTTGGTAGACGATTTGGCGTTCCATTTGGCAACAACTGAATCCGAAATTCTTGGATATCTGTACTCTATGGGAATTAAACCAGATGGGGTTCAAACTCTGGACAAAGATATGGTAAAGATGATTTGTAAAGAGTATGTCGTGGAAGTTATAGATGTTGATCCTGTGAAGGTGGAAGAAATGGCAAGAAAGAAGGAAATACTTGATGAAGATGACCTAGACAAACTACAAGACAGACCTCCCGTCCTCACTATAATGGGTCATGTGGATCATGGCAAGGTAAATGTCATTCATTTGTTTATATTTCCTAGTCTGTTTTTTTGCATCCTCGTTTCTTTTGTAGTTCCTGTTGTTTATTTTATTTATTCTGTAGTTTGTATTTATACTTCAGCATTTCTAATATTTTCTGTTGGTCACTTGGCAGACTACCCTGTTGGATCATATCCGGAAGAGCAAGGTAAACAGGGCTGCTATAATACTCTAATTCCTCCTTTCAGTTTATTTTGAAATGACCTTAGTGGTACATGATTTTGGATCTTCATTATTTTTGGTAAACTTATACACTTAATTCAGTTGTTTGGTAATAATATATTGAATGTCCACTTACAGTTTGGCATTGGTATTAAACTGTGGAGCTGTGTGAAATCGGTGCTAATAAACTGGTATATATTCACAGGTTGCTGCCTCAGAGGCTGGTGGAATTACACAAGGAATTGGGGCATATAAGGTGCTTGTACCAATTGATGGAAAGTTGCGATCATGTGTTTTCCTTGATACTCCTGGACATGAGGTACAATCAGTTCCCTGTTGTTAACACTTGGAAAACTCTCTCTCTCTCTCTTTGCACTTAAGCACCTTGTTTTATCTTTATTTTTCAGGATTCGGGTTATGTAACTTTCCTGCACTTTTATTTCCTTTAGATTTTTTTTTTTTAAAATTTTAATTTCCTTTAGGTGATCTATTATATCCATTCCTGTAGGCATTTGGTGCAATGAGAGCTCGTGGAACAAGGGTGACAGACATTGCTATCATTGTAGTGGCAGCTGATGATGGAATCCGCCCGCAAACAAAAGAGGCCATAGCTCATGCTAAAGCTGCTGGAGTGCCAATTGTAATTGCTATAAATAAGGTATGCCAAACACAGCGGTAGTTTTTTTTTTTTTTCCAACTTTTTATTTGAATAAAGAAAAAGGAAGAATTGATGTTTTGCTTGCATTTCACATGGAATCCCGAGTTGTTGAATCTCAATTTTATCTATTTTAATTGTACCAGATAGACAAGGATGGAGCTAATCCAGATCGAGTCATGCAAGAGCTTTCTTCTATCGGCCTAATGCCAGAGGACTGGGGTGGTGACATCCCAATGGTCCAGGTTGGTATTCATGCAGAGAAGTTGTGCTTGCATATTTCATTTATGTTTTAAACTCTTTCTGAGTGCTTTCCTGCATGGGTTTGAACAGATTAGTGCTCTTAAAGGGAAGAATATAGATGAGCTTTTGGAAACTGTTATGCTAGTTGCAGAGGTAAATTTGATGTCTATGGATGTTTACAAATTAGCTATTCTCCTTCTTGTATACTAACCATTTATATGATTGTTCTAGTTGCAAGATTTAAAGGCAAATCCTCATAGAAGTGCAAAAGGCTCAGTCATTGAGGCCGGTCTTCATAAATCTAAGGGACCTGTAGTTACACTTATAGTGCAAAATGGAACCCTCAAACAAGGGGACATAGTAGTTTGTGGAGGAGCATTCGGAAAGGTTGGTGGATAACAATTTTGAACATCTCTTTTACTTAGATCTAATCCACCTTTATGTAGCTCAAATGGCCACCCTTTTGACTAACATGAAGGACTCTTTGTAATCGCTATGGTCAGGTGCGTGCTTTGTTTGATGATGGTGGAAATCGTGTCGATGAAGCTGGACCCTCTATACCTGTTCAGGTTGTTCTTCATATTCTTCTTCTTGTACTTCTGATTTAATCTTCTTTAATTATTTTTCTGTTGTTTTAAGCAGTGGCTTAATTCAAAAGTAGATATTGAAATTTTGCAAGTTTGTTTGCAATTTAAGTGGATCAAGTAGACCCAAAATTCATCTTATGGGTTCTAATTGGAGAATTACAAGGTGACATATGTGAGATACTTAAGTGATGTGATGGTGAAATTTTGCAAGTTTGGTTGCAATTGAAGTGGTAACGGAAGATGTGACTCAGAACCGAGCGCAATGGCGTTCTAGGATTCATATAGCTGACCCCACTTAGTGGGAAAAGGCTTTGTTGTTGTTGGTTGCAATTGAAGTGGTAAACTAGTCAGCAACATTTTTGTAAGCACATTGAATTGTCAATTGTACCTGGGTTCCTTTCTAGTTTCTATTATAAAGACGCAATAGATAGGGCATTGGGTATTCCACTGTGACATCTTTTGGGTTATAATCTCACGTAAATCAATATGGCTCTTGACATGCAAGTGTTTGCATTGGTACATTTTCATTATTTGGGTTTTCTGTATGCTGTCACAGCAGTTATAATCTCGAGTTAATCAGTGTGGCTCTTGACATGCAAGTGTTTGTATTGGTACATGTTACTCCTCTGCTTGCCATTTTGCTGGCATTATAATTACTATCAGCAATTACATTTGACAAGATCAACGGCACAGCTGTCTCTAATCATTAATGTTTGTAACATAACAGTAAACAGGTTTGATTTGGTACAGATTTCTCTGATCTTTAATAACATTATTCTTTAAACGTTGCTTCCACATATTCCTGGAATTCTTCAAAGTATTTTTTATTTTCTATATCTCCTTAATGTTTTATTATGCCCCCTTTGTTGCATGATACTTGTTTCACTGCCCTGAATGACAATCACTTTGTCTTCTTGTAGGTTCTTGGATTAAATAATGTTCCTATTGCTGGTGATGAATTTGAAGTTGTCAGCTCCCTTGATATTGCACGTGAAAGGGCAGAGTTGCGTGCTGAGTCATTGCGAAATGAACGTATATCAGCTAAGGCTGGCGATGGCAGGGTTACTCTTTCTTCCTTAGCTTCTGCAGTCTCAGCAGGAAAGCTGTCTGGAATAGACTTGCACCAGCTAAATATTATTCTGAAGGTTGATCTTCAGGTATGCATATTCATCTAATTGTCATGAGTCAGTAATTCGTTTGGTAACTGGAGAGATTTTTCAGTGTACTGGGAGCACGGCCCGTTACACCAAGTGTTATAATTCAAATGGTTGGATACTTGAAAAATAAATTTCCAAACATTTGTATCATGACACTTGGTGTAGCATGCTGTGTTCCCGCTACATTGAAAAATTTATCTGGTAACTGGTCCTTTGATAATCAGTATTTATTTAAACTATACTGTAATTATACCATAAATTCCCCTATCATGTTTAGGGATCCATCGAGGCCGTCAGACAAGCTCTGCAGGTGCTTCCACAAGATAATGTCACCTTGAAATTTCTCTTGGAAACAACAGGCGATGTAAGCACCAGCGATATTGATCTTGCTGCTGCTAGCAAGGCAATAATTTTTGGATTCAATGTCAAAGTACCAGGATCTGTAAAAAGCTATGGAGATAATAAAGGGGTTGAGATTCGCCTATATAGAGTTATATATGAACTCATTGATGATGTAAGAAATGCAATGGAAGGACTCCTAGAGCCTGTTGAGGTATCAATAAACTCAAGCACCATATCTCTTTGGTTTTAATTTTATTGAAAGCACTGAATTTTAGGGGATTAATGTTGTTGGAAATTTCAGACTGAGATTTACATTTGACATTATTACTTGTGTATCGATAGGAACGAGTAACAATTGGATCAGCAGAAGTCCGGGCCATATTCAGCTCTGGTAGTGGTCGTGTTGCTGGATGCATGATAAATGAGGGAAAAGTTGTTAAAGGCTGTGGCGTGGAGGTCATTCGAAGGGGAAAAGTAGTACATGTTGGTCTTGTTGATTCATTGAAACGGGTCAAGGAAGTTGTGAAAGAGGTAATTTTTATAGCTTACTTTAATTGTTGGGTCATTTTGTCAAATTTATAGAAAATTGCAAAGAGGGGAGCGAGCAACCTACTGCATGGGAATTGTAAAATAGATATACTTAAAAGTCACAACCTAGTGCATGTTGCATACTTCCTGTCTTCTGGATCTGCGGCCAGCCTGGATTTCAAAGTACACAAGTAGCTGAATGATAGAACCTATAGCTTCAGTTGTGTTCGTTCTTCGTAGGTGTGTGTCTGCATTTCCATTGTGGCATAAAAGGTTTAGTTCATGATACTATATATTGTACAAGTTAGTGAATACACGAAAACTAATAATTAATTTTGATCAAAGTGCATAGTCGGTGTCAATCTTTAGCTTTGACAGAGGTTCTTTCTTGTTTTTACCATTTTGTTTTTGGCGTTTCTTTAAATTGGCTCAGTTTTTGTGGTGATCCCGCGTTCAGAACTCTTTTGGTACTTGGCACGTGCTTTAATGTCGTCTGTTGGTGATGAGCTATATTTTCTCCTCTTGGCTAGGTAAATGCTGGACTAGAGTGTGGAATTGGGGTGGAAGACTACGACGACTGGGAGGAGGGAGATAGCCTTGAGTTCTTCAACACAGTTCAAAAGAAGCGGACACTTGAGGAGGCTTCCGCTTCAATGGCAGCTGCAGTGGAAGGAACAGGAAGAAAGGTGCAAAATTGAAGAACCCTCTTTTGCGCATGTTTTGACGGAAGCAAAATACGATCACCCTCAGTCCAGCATGCCACTATGATCAGCGCCTCGACAGGTTTGCATCGGTCAATACCCGCACGTGTGTTTAATTTCGAGTGTGAGGTGCAAAGGATCTGATGCAAAGATGAATGTACCCTTGTGTTGTATGGTATTACACTGTATATAATTCATACAATGTAGACTTGATCTTGTTTTGTAAAGAGGGAAAGGGACATTCATCAAGTTCCTTGTAGTTCCAATTTGGGGAAGAAGGGCACTTGTAACACATAACATTAAAGTTCCAGAAAAAGTTACAAAATTCTTTTTGATGATCTGGCCTTGATGCATCATCTCATCTCACTTTGAAAATGTCATCTTGCACCCTTCCGTTATACAAAACTTCCATTGTAATGCGCCGTAATATTTTTGGAGTGCTGACAATACTATTTCAAACAACATAGATGACTAGAGTTGAAGAATATCTTGTACAATTCTTCCGCCATGTCAATATATATTTGATGAGTAACATATGATGTTGGAAATGTGGGTTAGATCAGTTAATCAGGACAAAGTACTATTCTTTTGCACTCGAGTTTGAATATCTCTGACAATCGATGGGGAGCAATTTGAATAGTTTATATGGATATGATTCTAATTTCTTACATTATAAAAAGATCAAGCCAAAAATACAAAGAATCAAAGGATCCTAAAACAACTTAGGAAAAAACAAAGGGACTTGACAAAAGATTAAAGTGCCACGTGGGAGAAGCTACAGTACGGAAAAGCTATGATCACCTACGCTCGTTCCCCGGCCAAGACATTTCAAAATTCGAAAAAAGCCAACGGTCGTTTGACTCTCATTTGCCTCCGAAAAAGCGTAACGCAGAGAGAATGGACCAACGAGATTAACGCCTTTCTCTTCTTTCCTTCGGTGTTCGTTCAGATTCAAATTTCCCACTTACCTTTTTGGGGTTCGCCGATAAAGATTCATCATCGCCATCATCATAATCGTTGATTAATTCAATTCAAAACGACGGCGGTTTCAGCAGCAGAACATTCGGCATTTGTCAATTAATGGAGGAGCAGGACCAGTGCGACTCTCCTCGGAACAGCTCCACTGCCGCCACCAACAACTCTCCCTCTGACTGTAAGTCCGAGATTTCAGTTTCATGGGTGGTTGTATAATTACTTAATGTCGATTGCCCCTCTTTTGTGCTTTGGCAGACACTTGGCTTTGCTCGCAGTTGCAGCGCTTGACAATGGTGGATCCTGTTTATCATGATGCGGATGCAAATGAAGGTAATTTCATGAGAAAAGAACCAGACTTCTACTTCTTTTTTGGTTTCTCAGTATTCGATTTCGTGTTCTCTCTGAATCCCAATTGCGGGAATTGAATTATGAGTCGATTTGTGGATTTGGATCTGCTTTTAACTCTAATTCGGTCAAGAGCATGAATCCCGACTAGCACGTAGGATCGGTCAGGTGTAGTGATTTCGGTTTCTTGATTTCAGTCCGTGTAGATTGCTCTCGGGAAAATTGTGAAAGCTCAGAAGTCGTTAGTACGCCAAATTCAAGGGACCCAGTTTCAAATGATGGTAAATTGGAGTAGCCTTTCCTTTTTACTATCAGTAAATTTAGCCAGAATTCTTGGATTTGACTTCAGGGTTTTCTAGAATTTGATTTATGTTACTTTTAGTTCCAGGCCGTTCGATGATGGGTTTTTCGCTTACTTCTCCTGATTTGGTGATCTGTGCTGTGTCACCCGATTTACCCCAAACCAGCTATGAGGATTCCCCTGAGCTCATGGAAAGCAAGTTCCATCAGAAGATGGATTCTTCTATTGAGCTCTCTTTTGAGAATGGAATCGACGAGTCTCAAGTAACAGATACCCATAAGACTCCAACTGTGAAGTTCTCCACCACATTGTGCCAAACTTTTAAGGAAGATTTGTCACCTGAAGCTTCATTCGAGCTTCTTCCGCCTCCGACGCAAAATGACAAGTTAGAGGAGGCTTCCCTTCCTGATATGAGCAACAACGGAGGCTGCACTGATGATTTCCTGAGCAGTGATTCTCAAATGGCAGAATGTGGATCACCAAAGGTAAAGCTTCTTAAACGCTCTCACCTTCGATGTAGTTTAGCAGCAAAATAAATTAGGATATTTAGATCTTCTGTGCAAATCATTTCATTACAGGATACAGGTAATACCGACGGAGAAGGAGACTATCATAAGCTGCTAATATGTTATGAGAAACAGAAAAAGGAAATACAAGAGATGAGGAGTGCATTGGAGGAGTTGAAAAAGCAAAACTATTCCAAGAGTAAAGAATGCCAAGAAGCCTGCAATTCTTTAAAGGAACTCCAAAACGAACTCATGCGCAAGTCTATGCATGTTGGATCTTTGGGTATGGTAATATTATTCTGTGCCTCTTAACCGTTTGAACCATCTGCAAACATGGTACATTGATGCTTGCCCGTTGCAGCTTTCGCCATCGAGGGACAAGTGAAAGAGAAGAGCAGATGGTTTTCATCACTGAGAGATTTGACAAGAAAACTGAAGGTACGAAGCTGTTAAAAAACAAGATGCCTTTTGACTACACTAGATATGATTCCAGTGATTTAAAAAGTTTGACTCAACAGATCATGAAAATGGACCACATCAAGCTATCAGAGGAGGCGTTGGCATATAAGAAGTGCCTTGAAGATATGAATGAAATAAGGACTAGCATTCATTCCACTAGTAAGTTAGACGTGCCCATGCGTTCCAGGTGACGACATTTTTTAATTTCAAGATATGATATTTGTTTTGCTTTTTCTGACTCTGACTGTTTTACGTTTGCAATAGTAAATCAGCAAGTCAATTTGCATAATGATCTGAAGACTAAGTTTATTGAAGGGGCCAAAGAACGGAAAGAACTCTACAACAAGGTGCTAGAGTTGAAAGGTTAGGAGTTTGCTATATTTTAGTTGAAGAGGTCTAAAAGGGTATGAGACAGAGGGGATTTCTGACATTAATTTTTCTCGCTTGTAGGAAACATACGGGTCTTTTGCCGTTGCAGGCCTCTAAACACTGAGGAAGTTGCAGCAGGAGCTGCAATGGCTATTGATTTTGAATCTGCTAAAGATGGTGAGCTCAGTGTCAAATCGAATGGGGTCACCAGAAAGACCTTCAAGTTTGATGCTGTATTTGGTCCTCAAGCAGAACAAGGTATACAAACAATAATATACATGATTTTTGTTTGGTATATCTATAGAAGTACAAAAGCTCCATACAGTAAAATGTTTCCTTTTTTCTTTGTCCTATTTAGTTGATGTTTTTGAAGACACGGCTCCATTTGCAACATCGGTTTTAGATGGGTACAATGTGTGCATATTTGCATATGGGCAGACCGGAAGTGGTAAAACCTTTACAATGGAGGGGACAGAAGAAGCTCGAGGAGTCAATTTTAGGACTCTTCAGGAATTGTTTCGTATAATTAGAGAGCGAAAAAAGTTACATCGATATGATGTATCAGTTAGCGTTTTAGAAGTCTACAACGAGCAGATACGAGATTTACTAGTTTCAGGGAATCAGCCAGGAACAGCTGCCAAAAGGTAAGATCCTTACCCATCGTTCTTCTTTTTCATCCTTCCAATTTAATCTGGTGAAAGATCCTTAGACTATTGTATATTCCTTGATATGTGGTTTCTTCTAAATTCGTGTGTAGAAGGAAAGTCATTTATCATGATTAGACATGCTTTTATTTTTTCATAAAATTCCACCCATTTAGCTTGCATTTAAAATATCACCGTGCGGTTGATTTTCTACATCTTAAAGTGGGAAATCTTTCTATTTCCACTTCTTAAGATTCATTTTTTCTAATGTGATGATTCATTATGCATGTCAAGTTTTTATATTCATTTCTCCTCACACCCGTTGATACTTTCAGTTCAGTTCTCTTGATGTTCCATGTCTTCGAGTGCAAAGGATGGGACATTATGGGATCATTTCAAGATAATAGCATCTCACAGTATTGCGATAATTTTGTAGGCTAGAAATAAGACAAGTCGGTGAGGGGATACATCATGTTCCAGGTCTGGTTGAGGCACATGTAAACAACATGAGTGAAGTCTGGGAAGTTTTGCAAACTGGCAGTAATGCAAGGGCTGTTGGCTCAACCAATGCCAATGAGCATAGTAGCCGGTCACATTGGTCTGTATATCTTTGTTACAGTCAGTTAGTTCTAATTTGTGTCAAATAGGCTCTGGAACAAAGATCGATTGCTAAATGTTTGAGTGGTCCTCTCTAAATGCAGCATACACTGTGTAATGGTGAAGGGAGAGAATTTGTTGAATGGGGAATGCACAAGAAGTAAGCTCTGGTTGGTGGATCTAGCAGGGAGTGAGCGTGTAGCGAAGACAGAAGTGCAAGGAGAACGACTCAAGGAAACTCAAAACATAAATAGATCTCTGTCTTCCCTTGGTGATGTCATATCTGCACTTGCAACTAAAAGCTCACACATACCTTTCAGGTTAATGAATAGCTCTTTGTTTATATTGGCCAAGTTGCCACATTATGCATTCAGCTATTACTTTCTTTTACTAAATTATGTCTTCTGTGCAGGAACTCGAAGCTTACCCACTTGCTTCAAGACTCTTTAGGTACTTCATTTGGATCACAGAAGAATCGACAATTCTTATTCTGAGTTGTTTAATATTCCAAGTTCATATTTTTTTTATTCTCTGGTTTCTTGGATAAATTAAACGTAAAACTAATGAATATCATTCGTTGTTTCAGGAGGAGACTCGAAGACACTCATGTTTGTTCAGATAAGTCCTAATGAAAATGATGTGAGTGAGACACTCTGCTCACTGAACTTTGCAAGTAGAGTGCGAGGGATAGAGTTGGGTCCGGCAAAGAGGCAACTGGACACTTCTGAAGTTTTGAGATACAAACAGATGGTAATTCACTGTGCTTGACGTTACTGCAGATTCCAGATTTTGTTTAAAACCTTGACGTTTTGTCACCATTGTGATTGAATAATTCATCTATTAAATTTCTAACAATCTCGGATCTTTGGTATGCTAGTTTGAGAAAACAAAGCTAGACGTCAAGAGCAAAGATGTACAGATCAGGAAGATGGAGGAAACAGTTCATGGATTAGAATTGAAGATAAAAGAAAGAGACCTGAAGAATAAAAACCTGCAAGACAAGGTATTGTATACAAATGGTCCCTTTTTTCAGTTTATATACATAAAGTAAGTTTCAGGTACTAATGTAGTACATTTTTCAGGTAAAAGAATTGGAAGCACAACTTCTAATCGAGAGAAAGCTGGCACGTCAGCATGTTGACACAAAGATAGCCGAGCAGCACCATCAGCAAATCAAACATCAACAAGATGAGCAATCTATTGCACCCACAAGGTCACCGTTTGATAGCCGACCATTAGCAAGTCACAACATCCTTAGTGAAACAGGCAGTGTATTGGGAAAAGATCAAGTAAACCCTCTGCAGCCATTGATGGAGAAGACCAACAACAAACCCACAGCACCCCTTTTTCATACAACAGATGGTTTTATCAAGCATGTTGATGCTACAGAGAAAGAAAACAACCCTGAAATGGCTGAACAATTTCTTGTTCCAAAGAAAACCGGAAGAGCCTCCATTTGTCCAACATTTCAGCGGATTCCAGTAACTGCAGCTCCAAGGCGCAACTCCCTAATTCCACTCCCAAGTGTACCATTCCGTGTCCAATCCCCGCCACCTGCATTACCATTGGCACCCATAGCATGCCATGCTGATAAGAAAGTTGATCCAGATGTGCCTGAGACTGACTGCTTGCCGGAACAGACACCTTGTAGCAGTCCTAAAGTCATCAGAATTGGCGGCAAAAAGCTAAACAGCATAGTGAGAAGAAGCCTCCAAAAGAAAATCCAGATAAAGTCCCCAATGCCGCCACATATGAGAAAAGGCGTGAATGTAGGGATGGAGAAGGTTAGAGTCTCTATTGGAACCCGAGGGAGGATGGCGCACAGGGGGTTGCTAGGAAATGGTAGAAGAGCCGGAACTAAAGAAAGCCAGAAGCCTATTAGTCACAGGGAAAGGGAGAGGGGGTGGAATATAATTGGTACAGCAGCGAGAACTGCTACAAAAAGCTGATAACGATGAGTGTACTTAATTCAGTTATGGTGTGAGCATAGAGGTTATATCCTTGTAGCCTGCAGCATGGAGAGGGAGGGAGAGAGGTCACTTATTCTGGGTCGTGCTATTCATTTGTTTATTTACTAATGTACAGAAATGTTTGAGAATGTCAATGGTTTTTTGCTTTGTGGTAACACCTGATTAAGTACCAATTTGGCACGGCTGAAATTATAAAAAAAAAGCAGGTATGAGAAAAAATTGGGGTTTTTTTTAGTGTTTGGTAAACACACTAAAATCAGCTTTTTTCCACCGCCGAGGTGAAAAAAAGCCAACATCCTGAAGCCACAAGTCATAGCTTTGAAAAAATAGTTTTTTTTTTCAAAACATGCGAAGCTACAGTGCAATGTTAATGAAACTTTTAAATTTCAATAACACCCTCCTTAGTTTTACAAAATGACAATTCTTGTCCCTAAAACAACTGGAAGGATCTCTTTCCTATTCTCTTGCTCGACACCGACCACCACTGCACCAACGATTATCCCTCTCCTCCTTTCAGATCCTACACAAGATCAAATGCGATGATTAAATAGTAAAATAAACTTAAAAAATAACCCATAATTAATTTAATGGACGGAAATGCTTAGGATGATAAAAGGACCGATGATTTATCCGATAACAGGAATGATGATTCTCATCCGCAAGGAATTCACCAAATTAACACCCAATAAATTAATAAGATGCCAACCAATCTTATTCGCACGACACAAAGAAATTCATCAAATTCAATAACAAAACCCTAATTTAAAACCCAATAAACAAACTATTTATTTATTTAATTTTATACCTCAACAAATTTGTCTATCCTCGAAGGTGTGGTTGGATAAGTTGACACCCGAAGATCCGGTGAAGTTGAGATGAGGGGGATGAGCAGCAAAGAAAATGAGGGAGAGGAGAGAGAGATTGAATGTATGAGAGATTATAAATAAAAAAATTATAAAAGAAAAACAAATTAATGTTGTGATCTATTTTATCTGACAGAGGGACTAGGGCCGGCGGCAGAGAGAGAGGAGAGAGATGTGTGTTTGTAGAATTGTAGGGGAATGTGTGTGTGTTGTTATCCCTCCTACATTGTGCCTTTATTTATAGTAGTAAAGGGAGAGAAGATATTTCTTCTCCTCCAAGTAATACAAGTTGTAATAGGAAAGGATAACTAGAATCAAATCTTATCTAGGATTTACACAATCATACTTAAACTAGGAATGTTTACAACACTCCCCCTTGAGTGGGTAAATACTCAAGGTAGATTCAACATCATGCAGAAGTTGAGGAAGTCGACTCGTTGGCACTGATTCCAAGGAACAACGCTTATTCTCAATAAGGTAGGAACTTGCATAAGTAGTAAGTCTCACTAAAAAACCCTAAGGCTATGGCAAAAACTCAAGTAGGGACAAAATCCATAGTCTAAGGAAAAATGCGTGAGAAATGCAAAGTCAAAAGAAACGTCTACAGGACGTCATCAGGGATATGACCAGCCCAAGGTGGGTGCCTCGTTAAAACCTAGTTAGGTAGCAAAAACCCAGTGGGAAAAATGCTCCTAATCGTAGGGAAAAAGAGTACATTAAGATCAAGCAAGTATCTAGAAGATACTCCCCCTGAGTTTGACATAATTCCAAAGAGAAATAGCAAAGTTACAACTCAGAAAGTTTACGCATACCAATTCCATGAACAAGCTTCTGAAACGTCGCCTTCGGTAGTGATTTGGTGAAGAGGTCGGCCAGATTGTCTTGTGATCGGATTTGCGTGACTTCAATCTTCTGATGCTCTTGTTGTTGATGTGTAAAGAAGAACTTCAGCGCAATATGCTTGGTGTTGTCTCCTTTGATGTAACCCTTCTTGAGCTGTTCGATGCAAGCTGCGTTGTCTTAAAAAATCGTCGTCGGGGCATTAACGGCGGGATGAAGATCACAGGAGCTTCGAATATGGCCCACTACTGCTCTCAACCAAAAGCATTCCCGAGTTGCTTCATGTAAGGCGAGAATTTCAGCATGGTTAGACGAAGTGGCAACTAAGGTCTGTTTAGTTGACCTCCAAGATATTGCGGTGCCTCCAACGGTAAAGACATAACCCGTTTGAGAACGCGCCTTGTGCGAATCAGATAAGTATCCAGCGTCGGCATAACCAACAAGGCGAGAATCAACCCGATGAGCATAGGGTGCGGCATCACTCGAGGATTCGTAGGGATAGAATAAGCCCAAATCCGTAGTACCCTTAAGGTAACGGAAGATGTCTTTCACGCCAGTCCAATGTTTGCGTGTTGGTGCATTGCTGTATCTTGCCAAAAGATTAACAGCGAAGGAGATGTCGGGTCTAGTGCATTGAGCTAAGTACAATAAAGCGCCTATCGCACTTAGATAAGGAACTTCAGGCTCCAAAATCTCTTCATCATCCTCATTCGGACGGAAGGGATCTCGCTTTGCATCTAGCGTACGAACGACCATAGGAGTACTCGAAGACTTCGCTTTATCCTCATTAAAACGGCGCAACACCTTCTGGGTGTAGTTCGATTGATGTACTAGGATTCCATCCGAACAATGCTCTATCTCGAGACCGAGACAGTATCGAGTCTTACCTAGATCCTTCATCTCAAATTCCGACTTCAGGTGCGAAGCAGTTCTCGCGAGCTCTTCAGGAGTTCCGATGAGATTCATGTCATCGACATATACTGCAACAATCGCAAATCCGGAATGTGACTTCTTAATGAACACACAAGGGCATAGTTCGTTATTCACATATCCCTGACTAGTCAAATACTCACTTAAACGGTTATACCACATTCTTTCGGATTGTTTCAAACCGTATAGTGAATGCCTCAGCCGAATTGAGAGCGTGTTCCGGGGTTTGGAAATATTTGAACCAGTCAATGTAAGTCCTTCGGGAACTTTCATATAAATTTCCGTATCAAGATCCCCATAGAGATACGCGGTTACTACGTCCATCAGCTGCATATCCAGTTTTTCGGAAACTACCAAACTGATAAGGTATCGAAAAGTAATCACATCCATAACGGGTGAGTAAGTTTCGTCATAGTCAATCCCGGGGCGTTGTGAGAAACCTTGTGCTACAAGACGAGCTTTGTAACGCACAATTTCGTTCTTCTCATTACGCTTCCGAACGAAAACCCACTTGTAGCCAACGAGCTTCACATATGGAGGAGTAGGAACTACAGGTCCAAACACCTTACGTTTCGCAAGTGAATCAAGTTCGACTTGGATTGCTTGTTTCCAGTTTGACCAATCAACTTTACGTCGACATTCATCAACGGAACGCGATTCAATGTCATCGCTCAACATGATCTCAGTAGCTACTGCAAATGCTAATGCATCGTCGACAATCATCTCATTTCTACGCCACACATCATCTAAGCTAGCATAATAGACCGAAATCTCACGATTCTCGGGAGGAGGATTCGTCTCTTCAAGGACGCTTCCATAATCTAGAATTTCCTCATGAGTTGGGTAAAATGAGTAAGCGATAGTCGGATTCACGGTAGGCTCTTCAGGACCTTGTGCCGTGGTTTTCCTCTTCCGGGGGTGTGAATCCTTTGAACCAAAGGGTCTGCCACGCTTTTGTGTAGGGGCAGATGATTGGCTAGCCGCTAATGTACGTGGATCACCAGAATTGGCGTCCCGGGCTTCCAGGAGGGTAATCCGTCGTACATTTGGTACATCCATCTTTGCAGGCGTATTCGCAGCTGGAATATGTGATCTTGTCACGCGCGCTAGATCGGTGAAAACATCTGGCATGCTCTGAGCTATGCTCTGGAGATCTAATATGCGCTGCACTTCAGCTTCAGACTGAGCGGTGCGGGGATCTAAATGAGACAAAGTGGGAGTCGTCCACGATAATTCACGTCGTTCATTAGGAACGTTGACGTTCTTATCTCCCCCTAACGACGGGAAGACTGTCTCATAGAAGTGACAATCCGTGAAACGAGCGGTAAACAGATCGCCTGTCAAAGGTTCTAAGTAACGAATAATCGAAGGAGAATCATATCCGACATAGATTCCCATCCTTCGCTGAGGCCCCATTTTTGTACGTAAGGGCGGCGAGATCGGCACATAGACCGCACAACCAAAAACGCGCAGATGCGATATGTCGGGTTCGCATCCGGTGACCAACTGAAGGGCACTAAATGGTTGTGTCGCAACAGGCCTCAGGCGGACCAACTTTGCTGCGTGCAATATTGCATGGCCCCAAGCAGCGATCGGGAGCTTGGTACGTATGACCAACGATCGAGCAATCATTTGTAAACGCTTAATGAAAGCCTCTGCCAGGCCGTTCTGGGTGTGAATATGGGGTACAGGATGTTCAACTTCAACCCCAACCGACATGCAATAGTCATCAAAAGTTTTAGATGTGAATTCTCCAGCATTATCCAATCGAATAGATTTGAACGGATAATCAGGGTGGTGAGCCCTGAGCTTGATAACCTGAGCCAACAGTTTGGAGAATGCAGCGTTCCTTGTGGACAACAAGCACACGTGTGACCAACGTGTAGAAGCGTCAACCAAAACCATAAAATATCTAAATGGTCCGCAGGGAGGTTGAATCGGTCCACAAATGTCCCCCTGAATCCGTTGTAGAAAAATAGGAGGATTCGAACGAATCTTGTCATAAGAAGGCTTAGTAATAAGCTTTCCCATAGAACATGTTTGACATGCAATTTCAAGGATCAAACCTAAGCTTCGGGTTAGTGGATGCCCGTGTGAAGTTTTGAGGATACGGCGCATCGCTATTCGTCCAGGATGTCCCAAACGATCATGCCAAAGTGTAATTTCGTGCGCGGTCCCTGTGGTAAGGCCGGCCACATAGTGGCATTCTATGGGGCGTATGGTCGTAGTATACAGACCACTCGGGTTACGCTCCATCTTCTCTAGAATACGCTTCTGGCCATATTCGTAGGAAGTTACGCACAGAAATTCAACTCCGTTTTCTACGTGGGTTTCAGCGTGGTAATTGTTATCTCTAATGTCCTTGAAACTGAGTAACGTTCTTCCGGAACGTGGAGAATAGAGTGCCTCAGCAATGGTCAAGATTGTACCATTGGACAACATTATACGTGCCTTACCGTATCCTTCGATCAGGTTGGATGGGCCTGAGAGGGTTGTCAGAGGTGCATTCTTAGGTACGAAGT